GATTTTATTGTATGATATATATGTTTTTTTCTCACATGAGGCTTCACAAGCATGGCCTCAACTGCTTTGATTCAAAATCTGAGCGCTCCCGATTGTCTACCACTCCGCCTCGCTCGTTATGAGCTCCATTTACCACGGGCCCCTGAATAATCACACGCTTTTCATTTTCCCCAAGCTTTAGGCTTTTAAATGCTCTACCACAGGGTTGTTTGGCCAATTACAGAGCAGCCTTTCTATTACTCAGCATATTGCATCGAATTGCATATGCCATAGGGGGTGATCAGAGGAATTCAAAACAACACCGTGCATAAGACGCTGTGAATAACAATTATTTTGCGTGTGAAATACTGGGTGGACTGTTCTCTGGACAAAAACAAAGCCGTTAACAGACAACAACACTTTGGCGGAACCTGGAACGTCTTTAACAGCCAAAGAGCAAGACCGTCATAAAATGCTCTTTGGTTTTTTCGGAAGGTAAACATAAAAAAAGATAAATTCCAATTAGATGCCACGGTGAAAAGCTGCACTAAAACTGATCGAACAGAAATATGACGCAAACAGGCCACCAGGGAACGGCCCCATTATGGGGAAATCGTTCCAACAGCGGGGCGTTTTCTGCCTCCAAAGTCCCTGCAGGTTTAACAGCAACTGTTCTGGAAAAACAGAAAAAAAATACACTCATCATGAGTGCTTCCCACATCTTTCTGTTAGTCTTTGCAAGCGGAGAACAGAAGACGCTTCTCATTTCTCCAGCATCGGGTCCCACAGGGCCCTCAGATCACGGCGGATGCTTCGTGAGTTCAGAAACCCAACATGCTGACGCACGCCTGCACTCTGACTTCCTGATTCAGTTCATACCCATGTATCCAAACCTACCCAGCCTAAAATAGAGAGTTTTTTTTACTTCTTAACCTTGATTTAGGCACCAAAGCTGGAAAACCACTCCTTTGTTGTTGTTTGTTTTTTTATTTCCAAGAAGTTCATTTCATTTCTGAAAAGAGCAATTGAAGCCTTGTGCTTATTCACACCTTCTGCGAGGGGAAAAAAAAAAGAAATGAAAAAAAACTGCGAGACATTTTAATGATTTCAGATAATTACCTTCACCACACGCACACACACACACACACACACGCACACACACAGGGCCCGTGGCGGCGTGAACATCTGGCCATTACCGGGCTTTGCAGAGATTTCCCCCGTTGCCCTGCACGGTTGCCCTCATGTGCCCATTTCCAGCTCGCTCTGCTGGTCCACGCGCTGCCGGAGATGAATAAAAGCCTAATTACCTCAAAGTGCTGGCTGCACTTTCCCTCAAACGTCGGCAATCCAGGTGAGCCTGCGCCGCACTCATTTCAATCACAGAACCAATCTCAGGTACAAAGTGATGCGGCTTCATGCCGGATGATGCGGGTTAACTGCTAGCCACTAGTTTGTTTTCTGCTGCTGCTACTCTTCTCCAATGGAAAAATCCTGGAAGTTACTGGTATAACACGGCATCTCGAAGGCTTTGTGCAAAATTATTCATGGTTTTAAGCCCCGGGACTGTGAGCATAAGCCGCCATCCGCCCCGTCGTTCTCGGGGGCAGCATTTGAAAATGGAAGATGCCTCCATCTTCAAACGTTGTTTGGATAAAAGGAAAAGTGGGCTTTGACACAATCTGTGTAGAATTTGAGCGTCCACTGGGAAATATCCATTAGCGGGCGGGCTGATGAGTGGAATTAGTTTTCAGAGGAAGATTTAAAGTCCATTTAATTAATGCGGTGACATCTCGGGCTGCGTTATACCGAGAAAAAATTCAGCAGATTCTCCAAAGCCGGGGATCTTAAAATTCGGTCCTAGAGGGCCGCTGTCCTGCAGGGTTTGGATGTTTCCCCGCTTCAAAATCAATGCACCATCATGCATCATAAATCAAGGCTTGTTTAAAAAGAAAAAACATCTAAAAACCTGCTGCCTTGAGGACCAGAGTTGGAGATGCCCGCTTTTAGCGAATGTAAGCCACACTTTGAACTCAAATTAAAGCCTTCTGAATTCAACTTAAGTCTAAAATTTATAACACAAACTGAACTCTTCGGTGTCTTTGATGTGTGTTTAATGCAAATCTGAAAGTGCACTATCATGAGTCTCTGGGGAATTACCATAGACGATTACCATAGATGATTTTCTGCTGTTTTAGTATTTTTTTCTTGATATACTTCTGTTGTTGCACTTTGGAGTATGTGAATGTTTCTATTCCTGACACGCTGGGGTATTTTGCAAAATTCACATGGAGGGGCAGCACAGCTATTTGAGTTTAAGTGAGTTTAATAAAATGAGTGTGCTTTTGAGGAGGTTAAAAAGTGGGCTTTTAGAATATTGAGTGTCTCTCATTATGCTGTTCTGTTTGTTTGGTTGTTTCAATGAAATGTTTAAAAAATGCATGGGGGGGCAGTCAGGGCACAGCTCGATGCCTTACCCCATCTGAGTCCAACTTTGAGAACAATGGCATAAAATCAATGTTCTCTACAGGGTTTTTCTGGCACTCGTTTGCCGTCAATGTCTGAGGAGCTCCAAAAGCTCGGGAGATGTCAGTCAAAAGCTAACTGTCCTGACTTCATATTAGATTCATCTGCATGCATATCTCTGTGGGAATATACTGAATGAACTCCATATTTTTTTGTCCTACAAATATTGACGAGCTGATTGCATGGAGGCTTTTGACGAGAGACGCCTCCAATTATACTATTTTTGCTTTGTTTACGCTGTTGTTGCACTCATTGCGATCATGCTATTGCATCAGCAAAGAAATAAATAAATCAGAGCTTTCCAACTCACACACAGCAACTGTTAATGAGGCCAAATTTCCTAGGAAACAGCTGACAGCCATCTTTTGACAGTCAGAATTGCCAGAATGTCATCAGAAATTGACAGAGAAGCGACTGGGGACCCCTGAAGAACGGCTGCGGAAGGACTCATCCCTGCAAAGTTAACGAAAAGCATGGCGTGACATTAATGCACACAAAGCCAGAAATGGATGGAGAGGAAGGGTGTCTGCTCCATCACAAGAGACTCCCCCAGGAGCCTGGGCCTGTGGTGGCACGGCTCGGGCAATGTCGAGAGCAGAGATGATGTCTGCCTCCTTAACTCAGAGGGCTCCTTTCACACGAGGAGCCTGACAGCTGAAGAGCCACTAGACTGACAGAGGAGCACCGACTAAAGTCCTGTGTGGAGGCGACAGGTGCCAGGAGGCTCTTGTTTGAGGACAAACACAGTGAGAGAGGACAGGTGGCTTCAGTAGCCCCCACAGATTTTCAGCAGTTTTCCAACTAAATGATGTCAAGTCCAGCACATACCGACATTAACTGATTATACTCAGTCATAGAATACACTAGAGGGAGGTTCACATACCTAAACTAGCTCTAAAATTAAGTCTAGGTATGCAATACCCACCTTGAGCAGGAGTTGTGACATTTTGTTTTTTAAATTTCACACTTTTAGCAGAAAGTGTCATCCCGACCATCTGTGAAAAAAGCATTGGTTCTGGGTGTTATTTCTCCAAAGAAATAATAAAAGGAATGAATAAAATAATTTTTTTTCATTCTTAGTGTATATAGTAAAAGGTTAAAGTAAAAAATTATATTACCAATTCAATAAGTAATCTGATGAGGGTGTGTGTTGATCCTTTTTTGATCCTTTCCCGCATTTCCATTCACTTACCATGAAGGTGCTTTAATCGCTTTTACTTTTGAGGGTGATGCCAGATCAGACTGCTGGTGTGATGATCCGATGGGTCCGATGGGTCCCGGTACCCTGCTGTGTAACTAACAGGACAAACAGCAAAGGTGAAAACAGATGGCAAATGGGAGCTGGGCATAAACCGCTTCTGTTTTACACTACAAGCCACATTTACCCATTTCTAAATCCATGCAGTGCGTTCTCTGTTGTAAACGCGTCAGAGGAAACCTCCGGGGCCTGCGTGCGAGTCACTGGCCTGCCCAATGGTGCTTGGACATGCGGGCCAGGTTCCGCGAGGGATCAAAACCAGCCATGTGTACTTTCTGGCTTCCTTTAATCTCTAGATTTCTGGAAGCTTCATAAACGCAACCAAAGGTTTGAGCCTGCAGCTGCGCTGTTGTGTGAGGCTGGACATCAAATTGGCAAACTTGTTTCGGAACAAACAAGAGAACATCAAGCCCTAGCTTTTCCCTCAGTAATTCCCTTTGTACTGTCCATGCTCAGTGAACTTGTTATTTTGGATATCTGTCTGGCGTTAAACAATGTTTGGAGATGAAATGTGTTAATTCTCATGGTGTGAATGATGAGGGGGGGGGTGGTCATACATACAAGAATAAAGGGAAATTTACTTCCGTAATAAAAACAGGAGGAAGTCTTAGGAAAGCAGCTTATTTAATCTCAAGTAATGGAAAAGAAGAAAGCACTCAGAAATGCAAGATTTGTCTCCAGTACACATGTCAGCTGCTCTAACAGAACCTCCGCTGTCCTTCATGTTCAAGTACTCGAAAATAGAATGATCTGCAGCCTGCTCACAGCACTGCGCGGGACGTAGACCTCACGTTACACATCGACAAAGGTTGATATATCCAGTCTATTTCCATTGCTGCACAGCACAAAGACCTGCGATCCCCTCTAAGAAAACATGTCTGTTCATGAGAGGTCCGCTCCCCACAATGATAAACCGCTGCAGTGCCAAAGAAGAGGATATTCAACAATAACACCTAGTTTAGAAACAACAGCAGAAGAAACATGGAGAACATTCATAATTAGAGCTTGTGAGCGACCCAAGAGGAATGTCTGGCTTCAAAAGTACCCCAACGGCATTCGGGGGCGGTCCGGGCCTTGTGCAAATGATGAGTTTAACACAAGTGTTTATGCTTTCCATCCATGTCAAAACCATTCTGCCAGCTGGGTTGGCACGGCGGCACCTCCAAGTTGGAGACACCATTTCCCAAGTCCCCGGATGCCTCTCTCCAGCCGTGGGGGTGTGTGTGCTGCAAGAGCTCTGCTAGCATTTAAGGTGCTTCTTGCTGGTCATGTCGTTCCAGATGCGGTGCATCTCCTCCGGGGAAATCTGGTGCACAGTGACCACCCTGCGGTAGCGGCAGAGGCTGTAGGCCATCTTCCAGTGGTTGAAGCCGCTGTTCTGAAAGGGGTGGATGCCCAGCTTACGGAGGCACACGCCGACGTACACGTCCTCCAAGTGCAGCAGCCTCGTGTGCAGGGAGGTTTTGTATATGAGCTCGGCCACATCCGCCGAGAAGACGTAGCCGGTGCCGGAGCAGAAGGGGGGGTACTTGCTGTCCGGGTAGAGATCCCTGGGCATGTACCACTTGCTGCGCATGTCCCTGATTGGCCCACCGTTGATGACGTAGCCCGTGAAGTATCTCCTCCTGGGCTTGGTGGTGGGCTTCAGGAGGTTGTAGATGAGGTTCTCCATGTTGACGAAGATGTCGCTGTCCGTCTTGAGGACGTACTGGGCCTTGGCGCAGAAGGTGGCCACCCAGCGCATGCCCATCAGCGTTTTGAGCGTCAGGTTGTGGTACGAGTCAATAAAATCCTCCACCACGATGTCGTGAAAGATCTGGCTCTCCTGCTCCACCATCTGGTTGAGGACGCCGTCCGTGCTCCGGCCCAGCAGGAAGAGCGTGACCACGCGCACCTCCGGGAACGTGCTCTCCTCGCCCCATGTCTCCCTGATGGCCTGGCGGGCGTCGAACTCCTTGTGGGTGGTGCTGATCAGGATGACGAGGAAGGGCGGCTCCGCCTCGCACTTCTTGTCCTCGTTGATGAGGTAGCCGAAGTCGTGGGGGTTGAGCGAGCGCGCGCGGATGTTGCTGAAAGTGGAGTTCTTGTTGGTTTTGGGGGCCTTGCGCAGCGGGAGGTTTATCTGGCCCGCGTAAGAGGACGAGGGGCGGGACACACTCAGGTACCACAGAGCGCTGGCCCAGCATACCACGGTCAGCAGGTACAAGCAGGAGACCTTAGAAGGCATCGCTGGTCGCTGGGCTGGCGTTACCAGGGGCAGCGGGGTTGGAAACGCTGAGGCCACGCCTCCATGGGTTGCCTTAGGCCTAGCAGCGCTGCTCGAGGCTGCCTCTGCAACACAGCTGGCATTAATTTCAGATAATAGACTATCGGTCGTCTACTGCCGGCGCCGTGATTGAAAAGGAGCGCTGCACTGATTTCTTATCATGTCCACGGCCTCAATGAGTCCCATCGCAGCTCCAGGGCAGGCTTTCCATTCTCTGTGGTCGGCGTCTGTGGAAAAAAAAAAAGAAAAAAAAGGTGAGACACAGAGAGGAATCACATCCACGTAATAAATTAGCAGTAAGATAAACACGCTGACCTCGGAATGCAATGCAGAGCGTGCCGTATTTCATTTGCTCGAGGAAGCGTTTACAGCGGTAAGGCATATTTAACAGCACTTTTTATTCCCTATTTCATTACAGCCCATAACATCACCCTGAGTTACAGCCTATCATTCTATCACCGGGTGGGATTGGAGCCCCGTGGCCTGAGGAAAGGGATCAGAGAAAACAAAAGAGGCCAGCTCTGACTCCAATCTCACCACATTCTGTTTGCGAATGCTGCTCGTATAGCCTTTCATCCCGGCTGAAGAAGACACCAGTTGGTAGATCAGAGCTTCCACAGCAGTTTAAGACCATGAGGAGGAGATTGGGAGGAATCAGGACAGAGATGGTGAAACGATCTCAGGTCGGAAAAGACTAACATCCCCTTCAACATCCACTCATCCACCTTTCTCAGTCTTTCGACATATCCCAGTTCACCTCATCATCCACCTGAGCTCTACATGTGTTTTTGAACGTATTTCACTATGTAATGAGCCTCCTTCGTTAGCTGCACGGGCTCTGATAAGGAACTTTTCAATCTCTGCTTTAATTAGACACAGCGGCCTATAAGGAGGAATTTAATTGTGCGTTTGACAAATTTATTAAATCCTTACAGAGCTGGGTGTCGGCTTACGTTCAAAGGCATTGATTGATGAGTACTTGGTGTCTGAAAGCCAAAGTAAATTTAATCCAGGCCTCCTTTTTTTCTTTGCTCCAGGCCTAACCTTTTAAGATGTGACAGTGGCTCTGCTTCATTCCTACCGATCACGCACAGCTGATTATGATTGGTGGGGGGGGGGGGGGGGGGGGGGGGTGGTTGTTACTGATTCTATTAGCGATATTAAAAAGTGCTTTGTTCAAAGATGCAAGCGCCTTGATAAGAGCAGCTCAGTCTTTTATCGGGGGCCCACAGTTTCAATCGGAACGTTTTCTTATTTGTGCTATCTCTTCCTCATTCGGAAGCAAAGCATCAATCTCATGGTCCAGTTGAAGCCATCTCATCATGGTAGCTTCTCAGCATCTCCTCCCTCTTCATGCCCTCAATCATTCTCCCCTTCTCTGCTTCAGTGGATTCTTGATCCATCTTTATAAGTCTGGCTGCCTCCCCCCTCCCATCTCTCAGGCTCTTTATTGTTTTTGTGTGTTTTTTTGGTCCCCCCTTACTCTCAGGCTCCTTTCATTGACATCACCTAGAACTATCTTTACCTTCCCTCCATGCCTCCCCCATTTTTTTTCTTTAAACTTAATTACAGCTTCCAGTGCAATCAGTGTACTTTCAAGCATCCATCGCCTCTCCGCTTCCTCCAACTACTGTGTCCCACATAAAATGACTTAAGTTCTCTTCACCTTTTCCTCTGCCTTGAATCCCATCCCTCAGTTTATTTTCACCATGGGGAGAGTTTATTGGTTCCATAACCCTGCAAAACTACTTTGAGCTCATTTTTTTGCAGAATCCTATTGGTTCTGGTGACTCATGGCCATGTAAAGAATGAATGAATTTGTTCTTTATTACTTTAAAGACACAGAAACAGAAACTAATATCTAGATGTTCTTAAAACAGTCACGATGCCTTCGTTTGCTGTGTTGCATTAGTTAATCTAACAGCTATTTGCCTTGCTTGTATCTACGTGGATACATTAACATGTCAGGGAATTTGGTCTTCCTCAATCTTTTGTAAGAGGTTTTAAGGAGCTTTGTGCTTTAACTCTAGGATCACTTTGTTTAACCATCTCAATCATTATTCACACAAGAGTGTGTTATTCAGTCCAGCAGTGGTGATTTAAATAAAAAGCTCAAAGTAGAAAATGATAATTGATCTTCTCTCATGAGGTACCTCTTCATTTTGTTGCAGCTTTCTTTTTTCCAGCTGGCCATAACATTTCCATTTTTATGAAATTATGTGACAGCAGAGGGGTTGGGATAATAATCAAGCCACACTTTTGGTTAATCCCTTCCCAAGTGAACGGTTTACCAGGGTAAAGCCCCCCTCCCCCCCTCCCACCAACAGTTACAATGGTCATTAAATGGGTCGCTCTGATGCGCATTACTAAAACATCACAGAATGTGGTTTCTGTTGGCTGGGCGTGGCCACAGGATGAATTTAATCAAAGTCATGCTGATATTGCAACGCTGCTATCATAAAACCCTTTGGTCGTTCAGCTCTCGTTTCACACTAAAAAAGAAGTTCAAGTGAATTGCAGCCCGCAGAAGGAGGACTCCTCGGGGCGTGGGATGAAAATAACCGTGCTTGGAATAATAATAATGTCACAATATCATAAACCAGCTCATTTAAAAAAAAATTTTTTTTTAAACAAGCCAGATTTTAGCTGAGCACAGAAAAGCTCCCAAATAAAGCAAATCATTTTCAAAAGTTAAAACGTTAAATTGTAAACATCCACAATGGGCCATAGCATCATTATGAGCACCCACATTCAGTAACTAGGTCTACCAATGTGTTCAGCATCGGTAGCTGATGATGAGAAAAATAAACTCCCGTATGAATTTAGCCCCCGCCGTGTGCCTTTTGCGTCTGCTCATCATTATCTCATTTAATGTAAGGTTGTGGGCGTCAGCACATTTTGAGGTTCCAAAACACAACTGTGAAATGTCAGACAGCTGTTTACTTTTTATGATACATTAAACAGAAAACCGGGGGAAAGCCGTTTAAACGTTAGTGAGCGTGTATCATCTGACAATATGGCATCAAACCTCTGGATGCCTGTTGAAATGGCTGCAGACGTCTATAGAATTGAGTTAGGACTAAACATTTGTTGTGTTGTGATGGGAAACAAGAATATGAATGGAAACATTAGGAAATGACTTAGAAGTCATATTGCTGCTGCTACTTAGTAGTTCATGATGACTCACCTATTGGGTAAAACCACGCTAATAACTCAATTGCTCACTGTTGCTATACACATGCATTAAAATGAAAATCAGACTAAATAAAAAGTAAATTAGTCATTTTTCGACTCCCATTAACGAGACGCGCTGCAAATCCGAATCAGTTGTCATGACAGCATGGTGACGAGTCGGAGGGAGAAAGAGAGGGAGAGGAAGAAGTCAGGAAGTCAGGGAGGGAGAATCTGGGAGGAAATGATCAGAAGAAGAATTGCAGGCAGTTTAATGCATACTAGCGTTAAGTGCTTAAGTGTTTTGAACGCGCTCCCACCTCATGGGAAGGCAATTTAGCAGCCTGTGCCGAACTCTTCTGCTCTGCTTGCTGCTCCATTACTCCTCGTGCTGACTTCATATTTTGATCACTTTCATGTGGCTTCAAAAGATCTCAGTTTTTAAAGAGGGTGTGCGACGGCAATCAAACATTTGACCAAGTGGGGGGGGGGCTCTTTAGAAACTTGGTTAACTTCCACGCCAAAGTCAAGAAAACCTTAAATGTAAACGCATCTGATATCTTGGGTTCAGCTTTCAGTTTATCGGGCTCCACTCAAAATTGAGTGAGCCAATGTTGCCAGAGGAGGGGGATAAATCTCTAGAGGGGGTCCCTTGTCTGTTGTGCTTGTTAAAATCCTACATTTTGCATCTGAAAAGCCACGTTGTTTTCTGAACAGTCCAGTTTCCTTTCGACCTGGATCAAAACCTACAGCCCGCGCTCAGTCAATATCAACCAACAGTGACTTGGAGGAAGAGCGATGTTCCAATAATGTAAGATTTCATCCCCATCTCGCCTCATTTCACATGCTGAAACCCTCATTGACCCTGACTAAATCCATTCACTGAGAACGAAACAAAAAAAAAACCCAATATTTTTTAAAGTCATAAAACTGTTGAACTGTGAGGAGTGTTTTACCATCAAAGGCCAATATACACATTTCCAAAGCCGTTATGTTGATAAGCTCCCTCCCACACACAGTCATACCACTCATCACACTGCTAAGCCATCCAAAAAAAACAAAACACTGCTGGGTAAATGATCTCACCTTGCTCGGGCCAAGATAACAACAATAAACCCAGCGCCACGCCATTACGGATATTTTCCTGTTGCTCAGATGGCGTCGTGCAACAGCCCGCAGGGATCAAAGCGTGTATTGCTCACGCCCAGGTACTAGACATTGAAATCCACGGTGTCTGGATCCATATATTGGCGTGCTGTCGCATAAATTCTGCCGACAGTCCAGGTCCACGAGTAGATTTAAGCTCTGCTCCAAACACTGAGCGTGCCATCTGTTTGAAAGCCAGCAAAGTAAAGCACATCCTCATTTCACGCCCCATTTAAAGAGAAATGTGTTGTCGTACTGATACCGTTGGGCTGCGGTTCGTACAGGGTCATGGGCAGTCCATCCTTTAGTGGACGGGGCTGCAGAACTGGCCTCTTCTTAACTTATAATCTCACCAAGACTACCTGGCTGCACATATCGAGAATCCGGAAGAAAAACAACCAAATTGATTTAAGCGTCTCATATTTTCTGGTTTGGAAGGAGGGGGGAGGGACGGGGATTGGGGTCAGAGGAACGTTTTTAAAGAAGTGATTCATCCATCAGCCCCGTTGCCTTTATGAATCAGCCGAGCTCTGCGAGTTCGAAGGCTATGGAGATGTGGGAGTTTTCGGTCTCGTTTAGTGCTGCGCCCGATAATTGATTGGAGCCATTAGTGCAGGGTGGGATTGACCTTGCTCGCGGGTTGT